CCATCATTTCTTTAGTGATCTAAGTCATGCAGTACAGCATAGCCATCAACTTTGGACATCAGACTTTCTCGTTCTTCACATTTTCACAGCCATTCCTACCATCAAAAAAGGCATACTTAACTGTCCCTTCTCCTGTGCCCCATGACCCATGCCTGTTGGGCCTTTTCTGTCCCCTAGTATACTGGCAGCTCTCCTCCTTTCCAGTTCCAGTCTCCTAGGGCCTCTCTCTTGAGCTGCTGGTGAAATCTCATTTTTTCCCCTCTTACATGTAGGGCAATTTAATTCAATTTGTGTAACTTCTAAGCCCTGAGGGCTATCTTTCCACAACAAAATGACTACATTTTGTTAAACAAAAGACAATTTTCCCATGGATGAGGAAACCTCTTACCTACCTTTGACCTAACCCTCTTTCTCGCCTTCTTTTTGTATGTTGACTCCTTCCTCAGCACAAGTCTGTAAGGCATGATAGGGCCATTTACAAGAAAATGAGCCCAAACTACGCATTAGGCACCTCTACAGAGGAGGCCCTTGTTCTTGAGGAGCTTACATTTGTACTGGTGAAGAGGGTGTGAGCACTAGCCTGGTTTTACAAAAAGCAACAATGAGGGTGAGAGAGGTAACTTGCTGAAGTTAAAACAACTAACTAAGGGGAATGCCACTGAGAAGACTTGAACCTGGGTCAGTGGGATAACAAATACCAGAGCCTTAACCACTGCTCTATACTTTCTACAATGTTTTAAGCCCCAGAATATCCTTTCCAACCCTCCTGAAAAACATATTCTAGGTACATTACACTATGATTTTCATCTATGGAGGCAAGTCTAACTGGATATCCATAGACCCATTTACATATTTTCATAAAGTTTCATAGGATATATAATTATTTCATTATGAGATCAATGTAGAGTTTTTAACATTTGATTTTCATTAAATCCATGCATGTACATGGCAACCAATCAAATAGTACAGAAGAACGTATGATAAAAACTAATAGCCCCCTGCCTCAATCCTCTCTATCTCCATCCCTGTCCCTCAAAGCCACCTTTTCATAATTTTTGGTTTCAGTTCTACCAGTGATTCCCTTCACAACTCTAGATAATATGTGTATAATGTTTCTTGGTTTATAAAATTTAGACAATATCCTGTTGACTCCCCAAGATGGCAATGAGGATTTTGTTTATGTACCCTGCCTCACTTTTCCCCCCACTTCCCTGCAATGGTTAACATTGATATTTCTTTTTTGTTCTTGGCTAATTTTGTAACTTGAAAAAATATATATATTTAGGCCTCTATTTCTTATTCCATCCATTTTTGACAGATAATTCCAACTGCCCACTTTTGAGGACAAGGATATTAGGGCCACTACCCATCCCCCTGTTCATTTAATGTCCCACATTGTCAGTTTCATCTTTCCTTTTATATTGTTCAATTTATTAACATTTACATTATGTTCTGCAGCCACAATCAGGTCTTCTCTGCTTTGTTTCCCCAGGTTAACTCTAAAACCTGAAAACCAATAAACAGCATTCACATTATCATGGCTATGTAAATATTTTTCAAAATCTAGACAAGCAGTGAGCCAGGAATACACTTCCTTCTCTACAAGTCCAATGTCACAATCTTTGGGCCTCTCAAAGGAGGAGTATTTCTAATATCAAGGTCAATTGAAGTCTCTGTTATACTTCATTAGCTGCTTATAATCATGTTATATTTTATTTTGCATTGTATTTGGACTACGACTTTCTTGAATAATTACAAACACACACAATGCACACAAGTGGAGTTTCTAAGAGCCTTTCTTTTTTCCTTTCTCAGCCTTTCTTTTCTGAATTATATGCTTTTATTATATTCAGTCATTCCACGAATATGTATTGTCTACTATGTGCCAAGCACTGTTCTAGAAGCTGAGGATATAGCAGTGAAAAAGACACATAGCAATCCTTGCCCCCTATAGAGACGGTTCTAGTGAAGGAGAGAATAAAAATAATCGGATAAATCAGTAAAATATATAACAAGCCAAACTATGCAACAAGTGCTATAGAGAAAAATAAAGCAGCTAAAGGGATGGGAAATGCCCATGAGTGTGGGAGATAATTTCAGTTTACATTGGTCACAACAATGTATTGTATATTTCAAAATAGCTCGAAGAGAGGACTTGAAATGTTCCCAACACATAGAAATTATAAATACCCAACATGATAGATACCCTAAATACCACAACTTGATCATTATACAGTCTATGATGTAACAAAATATCTCATGTACCCCATAAATATGTACAAATATTATGTATCAGTACAAGAAATTTAAAAATAAATATATAGGTTGGTTAGGAAAAGACTCACTGAAAAGATAGCATGTGAGCAAAGACTTGCAAGAGGTGGGAGAGCTAGCCAAGTGGATACCTGGGGAGGGGGGAGGAACATTTCAAGCAGAAAGAATAGTCAATTGCAAAGGCCCTGGGGCAGAATCATGCCTGGCATTTTTTCCCCAAGCCTAGCATTTCTGAAAAACATAAAGGCCAGGGTCGTTACAGTGATGGAGAAAGGTAGGGAGGAAAGGAATAGGAAATGAGGTGAGGTAAGTAATAAAGGTTTGCCTCACCAACCCCTCTAACAGAGGGCCCCATATACCAGAGGAGGTTTTTGAACAGAAAGGGGAGAGGATCTTACTTGAGTTTCAGATGGATTTCTCCTCTGGCTTTTGTGAAATATACTGATTGGGGACAGAAGAAGGGATGACAAAGGCAGAAGCAGGAGCAACAGTGAGGAAGTCGCTGCAGTAATCGCTTGGGCTGCATTCACTGTTTCCTAGATTCACTGTTCTGGGTTCCTGTTTGGAAAGCCTTCAGCTGTAGGAAATAAACTAATATGTTTTGATACAGTTTTCTGCATTGTTTTTGTTCTCTCTGTCTACAACTGCTATTATTCAAATGTTGAACCTGCTGGATTGATCTATATCTCTTAAATTTTCTCTCACACTTTCTGTTCCCTTGTGTTTTTTGCCATACACTCCTGGAGATTTCCTCAATGCTATTTCCCAATCCTTGTGTTGACTTTTTTTTTTTTTTTTTTTTAATTTCAGCAACTTACTTTCAATTTCTAAGGAGTCTCTTTTCTCTGATTGTTTTCGTTTTGTGGGCATCGAGTTCCTGTTTTATGCGTGTTATATCTTCTTGAATCTTGTTGAGAATATTATTTTTCCTCTAAAGTTCTCTTTTTTTTTTTTTTTTTTTGAGACAGAGTCTCACTTTGTTGTCCAGGCTAGAGTGAGTGCCGTGGCGTCAGCCTAGCTCACAGCAACCTCAAACTCCTGGGCTTGAGTGATCCTTCTGCCTCAGCCTCCCGAGTAGCTGGACTACAGGCATGCGCCACCATGCCCGGCTAATTTTTTTTATATATATATCAGTTGGCCAATTAATTTCTTTCTATTTATAGTAGAGACGGGGTCTCGCTCTTGCTCAGGCTGGTTTTAAACTCCTGACCTTGAGCAATCCGCCCGCCTCGGCCTCCCAAGAGCTAGGATTACAGGCGTGAGCCACAGCGCCCGGCCTAAAGTTCTCTTTTGTTTCCCAGATTCCCAAATTGCTCTGGGATGAGTTGTTCTGTTTGTTTATTTTAGTCTTTTGCTTTCATGCTGCAGGCTTCCTTAATTTGCCTGTGGATTCTTGGCTGTCCCTTCATATTTAAGAGAAAATGACTGAGTAGCTGATAATTGGGCTTACTTATATAGCAACAGCAGTATAAGCAGAGCTGTTCTCTAGCTAGGGCTATCCCTCATGAGGAAATCCCAACAGGAAACTTGGTCTGGACCTGGAGGAGGTGGCAACTTACAGGCTTTGGGTCCCCGAAATTTCAGAATGCAAAGGCTTTGTTGTGTCGTGCCAAATGCCATAGGACAAGTCTGAGTGTTCCTGGGGCAGTTGATAAAATGTTGACAGTGGCTTTGCCCTTGAAGGTAAGTGCTAGAGCTGTGTGTGCTCTATGTGAGTGGCAAGGAGAGGGATGCTGATGGCCCCTGTGCAGACCTTCAAGTACATTCCTTTTTCTCAGCCCACTCCCACCCCCACCCTCCACAGGACCTGCAGAAACTGAGTCTGGAGCACCTCAACTCAGCATCTCCCCACTCCCTCCTCTACCCAAGACTCCAGAGGAACAAGAAGCTATCCATGCTTTTGATCCTTGTCATGCTTCATCCTACCCTCATCCTAGCAGCTGTTTACTGAACACTTACCATGTTCCAAGCATTCCAAAAGTACAAATGCAATCTTCATAATGAGTTTATGAAGTAAGTACTATTATTATTCTCATTTTATAGATGAGGAAACTGAGGCTCAATATTACATAGTCAGTAAGTGGCAGAACTGAGATTCAAACCCAGAAGATCTGAGTCCAGAACCTGTATTTTGAACTACCACATTATATTCTTTCTCAGTTCTGCCCTAACCTGTCTTAGCCTTTTACTATTCTGGAGATCATAGGTCTGATGTCTGTAGGACCCTTAAATTGTTATTGGACCCTGACTAAGTCCCTCCTGTCTCTAGGTTAAAGTCAGCATCAGAGAGGATCAGGATTGAGGGCTTTCCTCTCTGACCCCTCTCTCATCTCACCTTTTTAAGATGCTCAATGCTAAGTGACCTTTCTCTGGCCCCAGTTACTGGGCTTCTGTGGATGTTTATAGGAAAGAAAAACCACACCCTGAGCCAACACAGCAAACAGACCTAGCACTCTGGTATGTTTAGTTTCCATTCATCTTACAGCTGGATGAGGGGAAAAGGGAGGAATGGAACTGGCCCTTCTCCAGGCAAGATGCCAGCCCCAGCTCTTGGACAATCCTGGCTTGTATGGGCCTCAATGCCACATTCAGAGCCTTCCCCACCCTTCAGGATGGTCCCTCCCTCTCAAGTGAAGGGATACCTGGAGGTTTAAAAGAGCAGAGATTTGGAGATCAGGCTCAGACTTTCTTGACATGAACAACAGACTCAGGCCAGAAGTGGCATCATGTCTGGATGGAGGTACCTCATCTGTGTCAGCACTTTGCTGACCATTCTCCTTGAACTGACATGCCAGGGTCCTCCTAGCCCTGCTTCATCAAACACAAAGGTCAGTTCTGGGATGAGGGAACAAAGCTTGGGGATTTGTGACAAAATTAGCTCCTTGGGGGGAATTGGGGAAGGTTATCCAGTCTGTTTCATCAGTCCTATGACTGAGAAGCTGGGGCCAGAGAAAAGACGTACTGTTTGCTGAGCACGTGTCAGGTGCTGTATCAGGGGTCTTAGAATTATTATTTCATTTAGTCCTCACAGCATCTCTATTAGCTAGGCTCTATTATTATTCCCATGATAAAGAAGAGGAAACAGAGGCTCAGAGGTTAAGACACAGTTAGGAAGTGGCAGAACCAGAATTTGAACATAGGTTCACCAGATCCCAAATTGCCCTCATTTTCCCTTGCCTCACACTGGGAAGGAACTGGATGTGAACTATGTGTGGGTAGATGGAGGGATCATGGCTTCAGGAAGGATGAGGAAGAAGATAGATATCTTGCCTGCTGTCTGACCTCAGTTAACACATTATAAAATGTGGACAGTAATAGTGTCTAGCTCATGGGGCTGATGTGAGGATTAAATAAGATCATGAATGCCAGATGTTTATGCTTGCAGTTCATGATTGAATATATCGGTGCAATTCTTTTTACCTGAGATCCTAAGAAGGAAAAAATCAATATTTATCACAGTGCCTTGCTCAGAGTAGGACTCAGTGAATGGCAACTGTTCTGCTATATTCTAAAGCCTTGCTACTCAAAGTGAAATCTGTGGACCAGCAGCATTAGCATCCCCTGAAAGCTTGTTAGAAAGGGTAGAATCTCAGTCCTCAACCTAGACTTGCTGAATCAGAATTCACATTAAGCAAGATCCCCAGGAGAGTCACAGGCACATTAAAGTTGGGTTAGTACTTGTCCAGAGAGGTCCCTTGATTTGTGATCTTCTGTGAGTCTTTGGTTCTGAGACTTGATAAAGCTCACTGAAATATCAGACAGGTCCATAAAATGGATGCTACAGGCTATTTTCCCTCTCTAGGCCTCATTTTAGCCACCTGTACCCTGAGGCGTATCTAGGAATCTTGTGTTCCCAAGTACTAGCCTATTAAGGCCAAAGATAGAACTACCTAACCCACCTCTTACCTTCCCTGTCAGCTGTTGATGATGAGCTATTCCATGTGCTCCACTGTGGTTTCTCGTTGTGCCCACATCTCTGTCACATCTGTCCTGTTCAATCCATATGCTGAACCCCATGAAGCCATTTTTAACTTGGATCTGCCTTGCTTTGCCTTTATCTCCAATTTAACCATGTAAGTCTGCTTCCAAACTCACCAGTTCAATCATTTATGCATAAATTCATTCATTCTTTTGCTTGTTCTTTCAGCAGAGCATAGTGATTAAGAGGATGAAGTCTGAGATTAGACTTCTTGAGTTTAAAACCTGTCTCTGCCAGCTATGGGACTCAGGGCAAATTACTTCTCTTCTGGTAATCTCATTTTACATGTCTACAAAATGGAGATAAAATTAGAACTCACTTCTGAGGATTAAAGGAGTTAATATATGTGGACATATATGCTAAAATAAGTGCCAGGAACATTATTATGATAATGTACTTGATAATATTAGTTTTATTATTTTTTTAACAAACATTAGCTGATGCTGACTGTGTGATATACACTGTGCTGGATATGGCAGAAAGAGTAAGATGAACCGTACACAGTCTCTACTCCCAAAGAGTTCACAATCTAATGAAGGGGGCATAAAAAGTAAGCAGATGATTTTAATAAAGTATGCTGGGAGGAAAGAGAAGTCAGAATGTAGAATGGTGGGCATGGTGAAGCAAACCAGGAGACAGTGGTCCATTCCTTACCCCCAGGCTGGTGGATAAAGCCTCAGATATGACACCTACACTCAGACTTGAAATATGAGATGTTTAACAGGCAATTAAGGTGTGGTCAGGACTGGGGAAACCCAGGAAAGAGGAGTAAAGACACCAACATTTCCTCATTAGGGGAACTGAAAGTACTTCCATGTCACTGTAGTGTCAAGGACAGGCAGGGGGTAGAAGAGTGATCAAAAAGAAAACTTGAAAGGTAGGGAAAAACTAGGCCATGGAGGACTTCTAACACTAGAGCACATACTTGGGGCTTACTTAAAGGTCTCCAAACCATCTTATGTGTTTGCACACTTATGAGGAAAAACTTGATCATTTACTCCCAGAATATGTATATTTATTAATTTATACATCATATATGCTACTGAGCAAATATATTAGGTACATTATAAAGCATATAAATATAAATCACAAAGGATGAGGAAAACCCCTATAAATAGAGTGTGAATATTCTTTTCCCACTTGCTCTCGATTTGTCTTCAGTATCCCCTGGGACATGTGCACCGTTCCTTAGAAATAACTGTGGCCCATAAAGAGGAGACACAGCAAGGTTTTAAGCAAGGAGGGATGATCATGCAGCAGGGGTGGGCTGGCAACCAGGAGCTTAGTAGAGAAACAGGGACAGAGTCCATGTGCAGGGCATGCTGAAGGCAGGAACAGGACAGTAGCAGTGGGTCTGAGAGACCATTGGAGGGAGAAGCAAGCTGACTGTATGTGGGGAGTAAGTAAATATAGATGGTGCCTACCTTTCTTTTGGCCTGTCAGACCTGACAGGTGGATGACAGTGCCTTATTGAGGTGATGAACAAGGGAGGAGGAGCAAATAAAGGGAACTCAGTGGGGGCTCATTAGCTCCCAAAGTGCCTTAGTATGAATTAGAAAATGGCCCATGGCTTTTGGGAGAGGGATTCTCAGGCTTAGGAGATTGGTGAGCACAGCACAGGCAGAATTCTTGGCCTAGCTCAGGCCCCATCATCCTTGTGAGTGAGGAGGAGGTTCTTGTGCCATCAGCAACCTATACAACCTCAAACATCATCCCTGGGGCCTAGGCTGTGCCGTCAAGAACCTTCTGGCACTCCCCTGGATAGTAGCTAAATTGGAGGAGGTAATTGGTGTGGAGTCAGGCCAGGGATTTCAGGGAGTAGTCAAGGAGGGCTTCCTGGAGGCAGAATTTCCATGTTGGTAAAATTTCAAGGTACCAATATCACTGCACATGGGTACTCATGGGAAACAAAGACCAAAAGAGCAGGCATGGGTCTGGAGTATGAGGGCTAACCAGATAGGCTGGCAGTCAAATGATGTAAGGGCCAAGTAGTCAGGGAGAATTTGGATTTTTGCTTCAGTAGAAAAAACACCAGAAGTATTTTTTAAAAAAATTAAGCAAAGCAGGCTGGAGGAAATGTTCTCAGGAAGACTCTGTGGAAAGTATGCTGGCTGGAGGCAGCACACACACAGAGGCCTCAGTGTGCTGCTGCCAGACCAGCTCCACCCTACCCATCCCCCCCCCAGGAGACCTTGGGGCAGTGCCAGCTCGGCCCACCCCCACACCAGCCCAGCCACAGCAATACTCTGTTGCAGCTGCCTAGAAACACTTCTCTCCTGAGTGATCTCTTCTGCAGGCTACTTATCCTCCCTCAGTGTTCCTGGAAGCTGCCACCTTGGTCAAGCAACTTTCCTGATATCTGTGCCTCAGTCACTGCATTTGTAAAATGGAGACTGTGTCCTTGCCTCCTACAGAAAGAGGCAAGAAATAGAAAGGAGGAGAACTAATGTTCTCTAGGACACCCAACCATCACTCCTTAAAGGCTAGCTCTGACCCATCCCTCCCCTTTTCAAGATTTGTCCAAGACTCTCCATTCTCCATGGCAAAAAGTTCTTGCTGCCATAGGAGCTCATTCAGTCTTGTGTTCAAAACTCCTTATTCTCTAGACCCACCCAACCACTCCAACCTTCTCACCATACCTCTCTTCCCTGCCCCTATGCCCCAGCCAAATCTAACTAACTACTTACTGTTCCCTGAAACAAAAAAACCTCTGTGTTTCCCTGATGTCTGTCTGAGATGCCTGTTCCATAAATAATTGTTGAGTGCCTACTCTGTGCCAGGCCATATTCCAGGCACTGGGGGTACAGAAGCAAATAAGACAGACAAAATCCCTTGCCCTAGAGGAGTTCACAGTCTGGTAGAGAATATAGACTAGGAAAAAAATAAACAAGTAAGTATATGTGAGTTTGTGGATGAGAAGTGCTACAAAGAAACAGAAAGTAAAGCAAGGGAGACAGGCTGAGGGGGAAGGTGCTGTTTTAGAGTGATCAAGGATGTCTGTCTGAGAAAGTGACATTTGAACAAAGACTTGACAAGAAAAAGAGGGTGTAAAGACTTGCAACAATCTGGGGGAAGAGCATTCCAGGCAAAGGGAACAGTAATTGCAAAGGCTCTGAGACAGGACTGTGCTGAACAAATTCAAGAAATAGCAAGGAGGCCAGTGTGGCTGGAGCAGAGTGAGTAGAGGAAAGATTAGGGGGAGATGGGGTTAGAGAGTGACAGTGACCCACATTGTGTAGGTTCACAGGGGTCTTGATGAGCACTTTGGCTTATACTCTGAGTTGAGATGGGAGCCACGGAGAGTTTTGGGCAGAGGAGGTACATGGTCTGATTTAGGATTAACAGGATCTCTCTGACTGTTTAAAGGAGAACAGAAAAGGAGGGAAGAGTTTGAAGAGGGAGGCCAGTTACTAGTTTATTGCACATATCCAAGCAAGAGGTGTTGGTAATTTGGATCAGGACAGTAATTGTGAGAGTGGTGAGAGGTGGTCAGATAGTGGATGTCTCCTAAATATAGAACCAAAATCTCTGATGGATTGGTTGTGGAGTGTGAGAGAAAGCGGGAAGTCAGGCATGGCTCTAAGATTTTTACCTGAACGACTGTTTCCTCAGATAAGAAAGACCAGGGGAGGAGCAGATTTGGCAGGGGAGAAATACCTGGAGCTCAGTTTTAGAGATGTTCAGCTTGAGGTGCCTATTGAGCATTCTAGTGGAGATGTCAAGTAAGCAATTGTATAGGTCTGGAGTTCAGGGGACAAGTCCACACTGGAGATACAGATTTGGGAGTCATCTGTTTATAAATGATATTTAAGGCCATGGGGCTAGATGACATCACCTAGAGCAGGCGTCCTCAAACTACAGCCTGTGGGCCACATGTGGGTGTTTTTGCCCATTTGTATTTTTACTTCAAAATAAGATATGTGCAGTGTGCATAGAAATTTGTTCATAGTTTTTTTAAAACTTTAGTCCAGCCCTTCAATGGTCTGAGAGACAGTGAACTGGCCCCCTGTTTAAAAAGTTTGAGAACCCTTGACCTAGACAGTTAATGTAGAAATAACAGAAGAGGGCAGAGGAGGAAAGGGGAAGGGAGCACAGAACAGAGCCTTGGAGTATTCCAAAGATTTAGACGTCAGGAAGAGAAAGAGCCAGCAGAGGAGACTGAAAGGGCATGGCCAGTGAGAATTATTTCTTCCATATCCTCCCTCTCTTTCAGGCCTGGCTTCAAGGCTACCTCCTCGTCGAAGGCCCTTTCCTGAAGACTTGGGCAAAAGTTTTCTCTCCCTTCTTTGAACTCCTTTACACTTCATTACCTTCCTTAGAGAAATTGGGAAAATGGGAGTAAGCAAGTCTGTTTGTAACCCATCAGGGGCTGAGCTCCTTGAGGACAAGGCCTTCTTCCTTGTCAGGCCAAGAAACCTTTGCAGCAGTTTGCACAGTGCTTTCACAGTTTTCACCACCTATACCACCCACCATATAATTTGCTTAATATATTTCTTAAATAGATACACTTTTTAAAGATGGTCTAGGTCTTATCTTAAGCAACAATATCTGTAAGTTCATGGGTTTATGTGCTAGTTGTATTTTTAAGTAAACATTATAGTAAATATGTAACAATTATAATAAAAATGTTCAGTATGTCCCACCTAAAATTATGTTGCGTGCCAAAAGGTGGCATGCCTTCAATACTTTGGAAAACACAAAACTCTAACACCAGGTCACCATGTACTGTGTGGTCTCTGTGTCTCCATCTGAGAAATGGACATAATGATATCAACTTCACCCTGTTTATATCTCTCTCTTCTCCTCTCTTCTCTTCTTGCCACTCACACTGGGGCTTTATGGCACTAAGTTGTTTTTTTTCCCCCTAATACCCATACTCCTCCTCCTTCTTTGTATATCTCTTTCTCTCTATGTCTCTGATCATCTCTTTTTTTATCTTTCCCTATCTCTGCTGTACCTCCTCTTTCCTGCCCCATCAGGACCATCAACAATAAACTCCGTATTGCAGAAGTCAAAGAGAAGGACCAGGCAAAGAAAATCTATGAGGAAGCCCATCAGCAGGGAAAGACAGATGCTCCCATAGGCATCAGGTAAGGCCGCATCCAGCGCAAAAATGTGACTTCATCATCTTAGTTGTATGATCAGGGGAGATGCATGTTCTCTCTGGGCCTCAGTCTCTACCTCTGTAAAGTGGAGACAATGATCTCTCCCTCATAGCCATGAACATGGTAGATTTTACCATCTGTTTAAATAATCTGCAATTTCTTTTTTTAGTGTTTCATAGTTCTCCTTGTATAGATCATTCGTATCTCTCATTAAGTATACTCCTAGGTATTTAATTTTCTTTGGGGCTATAGTAAAGGGTATTGCGTTTTTGATTTGAGTTGCTGCTTGATGGTTCTTGGCATATATGAATGCTTCTGATTTGTGTGTATTGATTTTATACCCTGAAACTTTACCAAATTCATTTATCAAATCAAGGAGTCTCTTGGAAGAATCCATGGGGTTTTTCAAGATATAATATTATATCATCAGTGAAAAGTGAGAGTTTGATCACATCTGTTCCGACTCAGATGCCCTTAATACCCCTCTCTTGCTTGATTGCTTTAGCTAGGAATTCGAGCACTATGTCGAATAGGAAGGGAGAAAGTGGGCATCCTTGTCTGGTTCCGGTTCAAAGAGGTTTTTCCCCATTTAGGATGATATTAGCAGTTGGTTTGTCATAAATGGATTTGATAAATTTAAGGTAAGGGCCGTCTATGCCTATTTTGTTAAGAGTTTTTTATTATAAAAGTATGTTGGGGAGAAACACCGCCAGACAGAGTGTCTCTGCAGAAAAGACAGATTCTAGCAGAAATTAGAAAAAAGAAGCAAGAAGACGAGCATACAGTGGATGAGGGCTGGAAGGAGGGGTACCTGAGACCTCGGGAGACTCCACGGAAGGAGGTTGCGGAGGAGAACTGGAGGCTGAGACCACCGGAGCAGCCCAGAGACCAGCGGCAAGGGTAGGTGGAATTGCTGTTTCTGCTCTCCTGCATTTGGGACTGATGGTGGGCTCCCCAGCGGGTGGAGAGACCTGCGGACACCAGCCCAGAGACGGCTGTCGCCAGCCAGCGGTGAGCCTGTAGCAGACGTGGCACCAGGTTCCCAACTTCCTCCGGGCACCTCCGTGTGCACAGACCCGAGCCGCGCGGCAGGCGCCATATTGCCTCCTCCTCCCTTCCACCGACCCTACCCGCAGCTGCCCAGAGAGACAATACAGCCACCAGCTGGAGGCACCTCCAGGGAACAGGACCTTCCCTTTTGGGACCCTACAGTTGACTAAGGGGAACTCATACTGTGAGCTCCCTACCCGCCAGCCCTCCCAGGTGCTGCTGGCACAGTGTTCCCAGGAGAACGGTGCCAACTCAGAGGCTGAGAGACACAGACACAGCTTGGGCTCCCTGTGGGTGAATTGGGACCGGAACTCCTCTCCCTGGTGGGGATACAGATTGAACTCTGGGAACCAGAGGTCGGACCTGCAGACCAGACCCCGTGCACCAAGGTCTATCATTGCCCGGGGCACAGAAGTGTTATACGTGAACAGCCTACTGAGGTGCGTGTGCCTTCAGGGGCAGATCAGCTTCCTAGAGGGCAACCCTCCTCCCAAAAGGAGGCCATATGCCCAGCCCAGGTGGCGTTCCTGTGCAGGGAACCTCCCCGCCAGCATCAATCACAGTCTGGGGAGGCCTGGTGGTGTGTGGTATGGCCTGCTGGCAGAGACCCAGGAGTAGCTGCGGAATTGGGGAGGGTGGAAAGAAGTGAAGCCCGCTCCAGACTGCAGGTTTCAGACAGCCCCACCCCCACATCCAGACTTTCTGGCTGAGCAGGACAATTCCAGCCCAGCCCTGACAGCTTGTCCTGGAAGCAGAGAATAGAACTGTGACCCCTGCTAAAGACATTGGTGGTGGCTGAGGGCAGGCTTACCCAACCCAGCTACGGCCAGAAGAAGAGCTGATAACAGGACACAGAAACAACAGCATAGCCACTTCCTACAAGCAAGTGCCACCTACTGACAGGGACGGCATCCTGCACAGCCTTTTCACGGCACCCACTGACTCAATATACAGCGAGTGGTCGAATCTCACCCACAGACACCACCTAACGCCTCAGAAACTAAACAAGGTGTGTGAATACCCAAACAATAACCTAAGGAAAGAAACAACAACTGATCGACATGGGAAGAAATCAGCGAAAGAATTCAGGAAATATGAAGAACCAAACGGAAAACACACCCCCAAAGAGGAGCACCAGCCCCCTAGAAACGGACACCAACCAAAATCAGGAAACCAATATGACAGAAGAGGAATTTTGTATGTGGATCATAAGAACACTCACCGACCTGCAACAACAACTCAATAACCAACACAAAGAAACCCAAAAAAGCCTCCAAGATATGGAACAAATGTTCACTAAAGAGATCAACACAGTGAAGAAAACTTTAATCGAAGTCCTGGAGATGAAGAATCAACTCAGGGAATTACAAAATATTGTGGAAAGTATCAAGAACAGGGTATATCAAACTGAAGAAAGAATTTCAGAGATTGAAGATAACACCTACCAATTAAATAAATCAGTCACAGAGATAGAGCAGAGAAAAGAACAAAGCCTACAAGAGCTGTGGGATTATGTGAAAAAACCTAACGTGAGGGTCACAGGGTTAGCAGAAGACGAAGAAGACAACACTCAAGGGCTGGACAAGGTTTTTGAAGATATAATAGAGGAAAATTTCCCAGGCCTTGCTCAAAATCTCGATATACAAGTTCAAGAAGCCCAGAGGACCCCTGGGAGATTCAATGCAAACAGGAAGACGTCACGTCATGCAGTCATCAGACTGACCAAAATATCAACTAAAGAGGCCCTTCTAAGAGCTGTAAGAAGAAAGAACCAAGTAACTTACAAGGAAAAGCCAATACGAATAACACCAGACTTCTCTAATGAGACTTACAAACAAGGAGAGACTGGCCCCATTCCTCACTCTTCTTGAAACAAAAAATGCCCAGCCTAGAATCCTATTCCCTGCAAAACTAAGCTTCATATATGAAGGAGAAATAAAGACATTCTCAGACAAGCAAAGTATCAGAGAATTCACCAAGACAAGACCAGCCCTACAAAAACTACTCAAAACAGTGTTACACACAAGCACACATAAAATAAACTCACGAATTAAACAACCCAAAATCCAAAGATTAAAGGCCAGATAATACAATGGCTCAAGATAGAAATCAAGCAACAACATCCAACCCCAACAGAATAAACAATAATCTACCTTACCGCTATCAGTTCTCTCAATAAATGTGAATGCTTAAACTCTCCACTCAAGAGACATAGGCTGGCTGAATGGATAAGAAAATACAGCCAACGTATATGCTGTCTTCAGGAAACACATCTAACCTGCAAGGATGCATATATAGCTAAAAAGTAAAAGGGTGGTAGATCAGTATTCCAGGCAAGGGAGCCAAAAAGCTGGCTGGCAGTTCTAATTTGAGACGATTTAGTTTTTAAACCACAAAAGTAGTGAAAGCACAAAGAGGGTCATTATAAAGGTGAAGGGCACAGTTCCAACAAGAAGAGATAACAATTCTTCAGAATAGATAATGCCCGCAACTTAGGTGCACCCAGATTCATAAGCAAACCTACTGGATCTAAACAAATTGATTAATAGCAATACCATAATCACCGGAGATTTCAACACACCACTGATGGCACGAGACAGACCCTCCCATCAGAAAATTAACAAAGAAATAATGGACTTAAGTAAAATTATAGAACAATTGGGACTGACTGACAATTACAGAACATTCTACCCAAAATCCACTGACTATACGCTCTTCTCATCAGCTCACGGGACATTCTCTAAGATTCACCATATCCTAGGACACAAAGTAAACCTCAAGAAATTTTAAAAAGTAGAAATCATACCATGTACCTTCTCAGATCACAGTGGAATAAAAGTAGAAATCAACCCTAACAGCCTAAACAGACTCACATTTCTACAGCAAAACGTGGAATTAAACCACCTCCTACCAATGATTTACTCATAAATGAAAGAATCAAGATGGAAATAAAAAGTCTATGAAGAAAACGACAATGGAGAGACAAGTTAATCAATCCCTCTGGACACAGCTAAAGCAGTTCTGAGAGGAAAGTTGATCTCCATAAATGCTATAAACCAAAAGACAGAAAGATCACAATAACATTCATATGAAATGACTCAAAGAGCTGGAAAAGAAGAACAGACGACCCCAACCAGCAGAGAAGTGAATCAACAAGATCAATCAGAATAAATGAAGATGAAACAGGGAACGCTATTCAGGAGATTTAAAAAAAAAGTTGAGGCCGGGCGCGGTGGCTCACGCCTGTAATCCTAGCTCTCTGGAGGAGGCCGAGCGGGCGGCGGGCTCGAGGTCAGGAGTTCAAACAGCCCTGAGCAAGAGCGAGAACCCGTCTCTACTATAAAAAAAGAAATTAATTGCCAACTGATATATATATAAAAATTAGCCCGGGCAGGGTGGCGCATGCCTGTAGTCCCAGCTACCGGAGGCTGAGGCAGAAAGGATCGCTCGAGCCCAGGAGTTTGAGTTTGCTGTGAGCAGCTGACGCCACGGCAGCCTCACTCAGGCCGGACAACAAAGCAAGACTCGTCTCAAAAAAATAAAATAAAAAAAAAAAAATAAATAAACAAAAAAGTGTTCTTGAGAAAATAAAACAATTGACACACCATTGGCTAAGCTAACGAAAAGCAGAAAAGAGAAATTTAATAAGCTCCATCAGAAAAAAGGGATATCACAACTGATCCAAAGAAGATACAGATACAATTATGAAATACTACAAAATCTTTAGCGTCACAAAACTGAAAATGTGGAGGAAATGGAAAATTTCTAGAAACACCAGCCTCCCTAAGGCTCAACCAGGAGAAATATTCCCTGAACAGACCAATATAAACACTGAAATAGAACAGCAATTAAAAATCTCCCTAAAAAGAAAAAGTCCGGTCCAGATGGCTTCACACCCAAATCTTACCACACCTACAAAGAAGAACTAGTACTAT